AGTAAGCCCTTGGGTTGTGATTAGAAATATTAGCAGACGTTGATGGAACTCTTCCTGGTTCAATTAAATTTGTAAGATTTCAGCAGACCCATAGGAGACAAGCTGAAAATTAGCATTTATTTCATCGGTTACATTTACACATACACTAGTCTGGGCAACATAGTGAGACCTTGTCTCTATAAAAAAATAAATTAGCCAGGTGTGGTGGCGCATGCCTGTAATCCCAACAGTTTGGGAGACCGAGGCAAGAGGATTGCTTGAACCCAGGAGGTCAAAACTAGCCTGGACAACATAGTGAGATCTCATCTCTATAAATATCAAAAAATTATCCAGGCGTGGTGGCACCTGTATTCCCAGCCACTCCGGAGGTCGAGGCTACAGTGGGCCATGATCATGCCTCTGCACTCCAGCCTGGGCGACAGAGTGAGACCCCAACTGAAAACAAAAAACAAACAAAAATACACATTTTAGCATTTTGTAGGCCCTGGAGACATAGACTGTGTATTGCTTGGAGCTCAATGTCAAGGTTTGACGGCCTGAGGGACAGCCTGACCTTGACCTTGGAGCTCAATGTCAAGGTTTGACGGCCCAAATTCCTTTCTCAAATTTAATTTCTGGTTCTCGAGCCTTGAACAAAAGTCTCCATCTGCAAATTAAATTTTGGCAGAGGAAGGATCAGACTATCTCCCTCAGACAGCTGTCAGGATTACAATAAATACCAGGTAAGAAGCTTACAAGTGTCAATCTACAACCAGTCTTGAACACCCAGCGAATAAGGAAGTGGCTGTTATCATGGTCTTTGGTGATTCTGATGACGTTATGATGTTACTTCGCACCATAATTATCAGGCATAGATTTTTACAGACATAGATTTTTACAGACATAGATGAGACCTGAAAAAAAGAGCCCTCCTTTTACTTGATTTTAATTTTTGAAACAGTCCCTTCTCAGTTTTATTGAGGTATGGTTGACGAAAGTTGGTGCAGAGGATATCCAAAAAAATGTATACATATTTTAAGGAATACTTGATACTCTATACCGATAACAAAAGATCAAAACAAGTCACATTTGATTTCTGCAATGACAAGAGGTGCCCAGAGTGGTCACCATCAGCATCCAGACACTTCTGATGACAGTGAGCATCTCTTAACAGCTCTTAAAATCTATATACACTTTTTTGGCACTCCTGGTATTTAATAACTGTATTTACATTGATGTTTTAATGTATGTATATGCTGTGAAACAATTACATAGAGCTAATTGACATTTATCTCACAGCTACAATTTCCTTCTCTCCCTCCGTCCCTTCCTCCTTCCTTCCTTCCTCCCTTCCTTCTCTCTCCTTCATTCCTTCCTTTCCTCTTTCTCCTCTACCTTCATTTCTTCTTTCTTTATCTCCTTTCATCTTTTCTACCTCCCTCCCTTCCTTCCTTCTTCCCACCCGTCCTTGTTTCCTTCCCTCTCTCCTGTCTTCCTTTATTATTTCCTTTCCTCTTTCCCCTTTTCCTTCCTTTCTACATTCTTTCTCTCCTTTCACCTTCTCTTCCTCCCTTCCATCCCTCCTTCCTTCCTTCCTTTCTTCTTTCCTCCTTCATTCCATCTTTTTTCTTCCTTTTTCCTTCCTTTCTTCCTTCCTTCCCTCTTTCCCCCTCTCCTTCATTTCTTCATTCATTCTCTCCTTGCTTCCTATCTCTCTCCCTCCTTCCTTTGTTCTTTCCTTCCTTCCTTTCTCTTCCTTTAGTTGTGGGAGCACTTAAGACCAATCCTCTTAGACCACTTCAAGTATGCAATGCTGTATTAATATCAATTGTGGTCACTGTGCTGTATGTTAGGTCTCCAGAATCTACTCATCTTGTATAACTGAAACTTTGTACCCCTCGACCAAACGCCTCCCCATTCTAATCCTCCAGCCCACTGCAAGCCACCATTCCATTTTCTTCTGTGAGTTATTTAAATTGCATTTTCAAATTCAGGGTTAGAAATGTCAACATTTGTTGGAAAAAAAAGTTCGTGGCTGGGCACCGTGGGTCACACCTGTACTTTTCAACATTTTGGGAAGCTGAGGTGGGATGACTATTTGAGCCCAAAAGGTCATAGCCAACTTGAGCAGCATAGTAAGTACTAATTGCGTGCCAGGAGTGGAGGCACAATTGTAGTCCCAGCAACTCAAGAGGCTGAGGCAGGAGGCTTGCTAGAGGCCAGGAGGTCGAGGCCTCAGTGAACTATGATTACCAGACTATACTCCAGCTTGGTTCAGAGACTGAGACTTTGTCTCAAAACACAAACGAAAGAACAAAGCAAAATGAAAATCAACAAAAAAAGAAACAAGTATATAGGCGGGCGCCGTGGCTCACGCCTATAATCCCAGCACTTTGGGAGGCTGAGGTGAGAGGATGGCCTGAGCCCACGGGTTTGAGACCAGCCTAAGCAACTTGGCGAGACCTCATTTCCACAATAAATCGAGAAAAGTTAGCCAGGTGCAGTTGCTTGTGCCTGTGGTTCCAGCTACTTGGAAGGCTGAGTCAGGAGGATTGCCTGAGGCCTGCAGGTTGAGGCTGTGGTGGCCATGAGCGTGCCACTGCCCTCCAGCCTGGGCAACAGAGTAAGACTCTGACTCAAAAAAAAAAAACCAAACAAGTTTTGATGAAGTTGTTTTTTTCTGAATTTGCAAATAACTTATGTTCATTTTTTTAAAAGGTGCTTTCTTTCCTGTGCCTCAGGCATTGGCACTCGCTGACCTGTTTTCACGTCCACTTTCCAGCATTTTCTTCCTCCTCTTCTTCATCTGCAGTCATCCTCCCTCGTGGACGCCTACTCATCCCTCAGGTCCAGATGTTACTCTCTCAGGAATTTCTCCCTCTCCAGACTAGATGATGTGTCTCTTTGTAACAAGTCTCATGCTTCTCTGTCATTTTTTTCCTAGAATTTCTCATGGTTTTTTTTTATTCATTTGTTGATGGTCTCTCTTCTTTGACAAGAAGCTTCATGACAGTGCAGTCCACTATTTTGTCCTCACTACCCGCCTCTCCAAAATATCTGTGAAATGCATGCAGTCATGCCTCAGTTAACATGGGAATGAGCTAAGCTTTCTTCTAAAACAGTCCAAAAGCTCTGTAACCCAGTGACTTATTTCCATCCGAGCTGAACTCACTCAAAAATCTCTGGAACCATGGCCTGGGAATCTGCATTTGAAGAATTAGGGCTCTTGTAAGTCAACCTGGCCCAGGCAAGAGGGGCCCACGTTGAGGGCCTCCTCTACCTCCCCAAAATTCTGCAGTATGTTTTCAGCAAGGAGCCACATGGATGCCAATGTTCTCTTGTCTCTGTTGCTTTTAGACCTCTCAGGGACTGCAGCTTAAGGGCACAGAGCTGCTTCCTGACACCGTGTCTGTCAGCAAAGGCTAGCTGCTATAACAAACAGCCCCAAAGACATAAAAGTTTATTTCTTGTTTGTGTTGCAGTGGGTTGGGGTGGCAAAGGTACCCTCTGCTCCACATGGTCTCTAAAGGATCCAGGATCTTCTTAGTGCTTCACCCTGACTTCTTCTTGGGCAGCCCTTGTCAAGTGAGACTCCCTAGGAGGACTAGCCCTCATGCTGAAGGTAGCCATAATCTGTGATGCATTAAGTTATTTCTTCCAGGGCAGACGTGATGGCTCATGCCTGTCATCCCAGCACTTTGGGATGGTGAGGAAGGAGGAATGCTTAAGGCCAAGAGTTCAAGACCAGCCTGGGCAACATAGTGAGACCCCAGCTCTACAAAAAATTTTGATAACTTATCTGTTCCACATCTTGAATGCACTATCCTTGGGGGAGTTGAGACAACAGTCACCTGATTCATTTTCTGTGGAGTTTTATTTTCTCATGTAGCCTCAGTGAAGACTGGGTGGACGGAGCTCAGTCATCACCTGGCTGGTGGAATAAGAGAGGGCAGGAAAAACTCATTCCTGCTCACTGGCCAGCCTGGAGGTGACCACATTGCAGCCTCTCATCCGCTCAGTCCCCTTGGTGAGGATCGCTCACGTGGACTTGCCTGGGGGTGAGGAGGCTACAAAATGCACTTGAGTATGAGAAGAATGAAGAAAGATGAAAGATGGAAGGGAAAGAAGGAAGAGAAGAGAGAGGGGAGGAGGTCGACGACGACAAAAGGAGAAAGGGGAGGAGGAAGAGAGAAAAAGAAGAAAGAAGAAGGAAGAACATGAAGAGGATAAAGAAGAGGGGGAGCCGGGCTTGGTGGCTCAGCCTGTAATCCCGTGCCTTTGGGAGGCTGAGGTGAG